TTAGGCACCTTTCCTTAAAATTACTTCTTCATTCCTCAAACTTGCTAACGGCAGCACACATGGAGATGAAACATGGTATACATATCATTTCCGTGACGACAACAGGCATTTTTTCTCTATTATTAATTTTTATAGAGGCTTGCCCCCTTCCACAGAGATATACGTAGTAGTATTATAAAAATAAGTGGAGACAAGTAAATTAAAAATCCTGCGAATTTAAAAAAAGAGGCATATAGGGATGGTATAAAAGGAAAGGGAGACAAGATAGGGATTGGATACATGAAGCATGGTTAATGAACAGATTTGAGTATGCTGACACCCCGAACCCCATCACACAATCCTTATATTGTTGCCTAGGTGAAGTATTAAACATTCACCATTACAAATACTCACAACACCCTTCAAGTGGAGTTTAAAAGGGAATGTGGCAGTATAAATGTTACTGGGACAAGGTGAAAGAATGCTTGCTTTTAGTAACCTTTAGCCCCTATAAGAGTAGCAACAATATAGGGATTGTGTGATGGGGTTGGGGTGTCAGCATACTCAAATCTGTTCATTAACCATGCTTCATGTATCCAATCCCTATCTTGTCTCCCTTTCTTTTTATACCATCCCTATATGCCTCTTTTTAAATTTGCAGGATTTTTTATTTACTTGTACTAAGTACTACCGTACTTAGTGATACCATGCCCATCCCTATATACTAAGTACTACCGTAGTTATAACAAAAATAGCCAAGGGAATGATTTCCAATAAAGTGTGCTATGTTTTTATCAGGCAATGAAAAGCTGTGAATGTTGAATGTGCCTAATGGTGACTCGAAACTTGGTACACTAATCGACAATGATGAAAGTCCATCAAAACAAAGAGGAAATGCACTAAAGTGTAAACCCTCGGCGCACTACGCATGCGCGGTATTGCTAATTGATGGGCGGCTGGGGGGCAGTTACTCGTGATCTCCCGCTAGTAGCTCGCGGAGAGGCTGACACCGGCTAGCTACACTAGTAGATTGCATGCGGGAGTCGATACACGCCCTCTGTTGTAACTTCTTGTGCCTCTAAGGTACGCGGAGTAGGCAGATCAGTTCCAGGTCAGACAGCAGTTGGCTTTTTCACTTATTTTCACTGCTCGAACGCAGTCGTTTCAGAAAAATCGCCTATTAATATTTTCAGGTTCGCGCAGTTCTGAAGCCGTTGGTATCGCTCATTGGTCATCTCGTAGCCTGTAGTGCCAGAATAAGCGTCGACAGACAGACAGACAAAACGACTATCGCTGCGCATGCACGCCAATGGTTAATGAGCAAAAGTGCAAACCTTCGGCGAACTGCCCATGGGCTGGGCTATTGGCGTTTGCTCGCAGTCTCCCGCTAGTAGCTCGCGGAAAGTCTGACACGGGCTAGCTACGGTAGTAGATAGCATACTGGAGTCGATACACGCCCTGCGCTGTGGCTTCTTGTGCCTCCAAGGTACACATAGCAAGCAAATCTATGGCACCGCGTGCCACAGGTTGAGGTGTGAGCCAGCCGCGTCTATTATACGCATGCGCACCGCTTATTGATGGGTTGGGCCACGCAACGCAGTCCGCGACCGTGCCAGTTTGTCGCTCTCGAACGCAGTCGTTTCAGGAAAATCTCCATTCTCATTTTCTAGCCCATGTACCGCTAAAGCTGTTGGTATCGCTCATAAGCCGCCTCTTAACCTGTAGTGCGAGAATAGTCGTAGACAAAGAGACACTACTGTACAAGTTTCTTTGGAAACAACAAACTGCCTTAGGCAATAAAACCTTGTAAATGTGTGAGTGTAAGTGTGAGCCCTCAAACAATTGTACCATGATCAAATGTTCACCAAGACAAGTTTGTGAACAACAAATGGCCTCGGGGAATAGACTTGTAAATGGTGAAACATGACCTAGTGTGTGTGATGCTGAAAGTGGATAAATCTCAATTATTACCTACCTACATTATTAACCCTCGGCGCGCATGTGTAGGGAGGGTTACAGTAATTGTATGGCTCTGGTGAGGGGTGTCTTCGGCACAACCTGCATTCAAGCTATACTAAGGTTTCTCTCCCACTCAGACGGTACATGTCCTCCTGCTCCTATAACTGTTCTTTCTACATTGGTTCTGAGTCTCCCTGTGGACACTTTCTGTCGGCCCACACTAGTCTTGATATTTCACTAGATAATTTTATGTATGCCTGTACAAACTTTTCTGTTTCACTATTTTCTTATTGTCACGGTCTTCACAGTTGTTTTAAATCGGAATCACTAATTTGTCTTTAATGCTCATCTTAGATACAGTGATAAAGGACACATGTGTCTGTCCGTCCGTCCGTGGTCAGGTCCGTACACTTGAGGGCCATCCGACGGTTGTAGCTAGCTAATGCCCTTCCCCTGTCCTCCTACTAATTCCCAAGCTCTGATACCTCCGAGGAGGAAACGCCAGTCCTCTACGTCCAAGGGTCAATGCTGCGTTTGCTGTCAACCCATCGTTAGAGGCAAAGACGAGTCTCTGTTCTGCGGAGGAGATTGCTATGAATGGCTCCATCGCTACTGCGCGGGGGTAAGCACCCAAGTTTATAAGGGCTTTTCAGAGAGGCACTACCTTCTTCTGCTTCGCTTGCTGCTTGGAAAGGCACAGGAGGGAAATTGCTGCTCTACAGGATACTGTATAACTCCTAAAACGCGAAGTCACCGATCTAAAATCGTCTTCGGTGACCCCTCAGGTCGCTTCGCCCTCTCGGCCTGTTCCAACCACCACTGATAATGCAAGCGAAGTTGCGGCCTCTACGCAACCAACCGGCCCCATGAGATGTCAGCCACGAACGAAAATTTATATGTCGTTCTCTATGGCATGGGTGAGTGTCCTAGCGGTACCCTAAAATCGACCCGCCTCGAGGAAGATCTCAAAAAGGCCATCTCCGTCTTTTCGGAGGTGGATCAATCTATCAACTCTCATTCTATCAAGGACATCTACCGGCTTGGCAAATATTCTCCTGATAGTTGCTCCTTCCCACACTACACCACAGCTGTCCCAAGAAAACCCGTCCCCTCATAGTGAAATTCATTCGAGCAGCAGGCGCAACCAGTATCCTATCGAAAAGAAGGTCATCTCATAGTACCCCTGCTGTTATCAAGCCTGAAATGTCACCTACTGAGAGAAGATGTGAGTCTATATATACAAAGGTGGTCTCTCATCCAGTTGGGTGTACCTCGTGAGGTCATCAAGATTCATGGCTCCCGTTTACTTGCAAGGAACAAACTTCATGGTCGAGTCACAATGTCTGCTGGGTCTGACTTCTCTTTCAGTTTCTGTTTCTGTTGAAAAAAACAATCATGGTAGCAGTGCGTTATCCATTGTAGTTGCTCCTTCCCACACTACACCACAGCTGTCCCAAACCCAACCTGTCACTTCTCCAGTGGCCGTGAATGAAAGTGATTCCTCAACTCGCCTCCAAGCTCCACCTTCTGAACATCCTCCTCAGTTTTCTCCTCCCCCCTCAACTCGCTCTTCTCCCGCTTCAGTCTCTGATCAATGACTATCAAATGACATCCATCTTTGTTACCTAAATTCACACAATCTAGTCAACAAGCTCTCCAATTTCGAGTCTTTTGTTTATTCTCATGCATTTGATGTCCTTTGTATTTCAGAAACTTGCTTATCTGACTTCATCTATGACAAGGAGGTTCTCCCAGATAAGTTCACATTGTATCGAAAAGATAGAGAGTCTCGCGGAGGTGGTGTGCTCATATATAGCAGTAAACAACCTCCTTCCAAGTTACCTCCCAACTTGGAAGCAATCGCTATTAAACTCTGCTTTGCAGGTAATCATAAAATCTCCATTTGCACAGTGTACATTCCTCCAAACCCAAACGTTGCTTGTTTCAATCTTCTTTTTTTTTCAAAAATTCATTTTCCCAAAGTGAGAATATCCAAGCTATTAACTGCCATCATGATCTCGGTATTTTAATGTCTGAAGTGGAGCAACCACCTGATGTTTATTTCCTTTCGAGCTTACAAGATTTTAGGCCTTATCCGGCGCACGTTCTCCTCAGGATTGCACATCTCTGCTAAAAATAACCTGTACATCACGCTAATTCGTTCTCAGCTCACCTATGCCTAGCAGATCTGGAGGCCCCATCTCATCAAAGACATCTTGGCACTAGAACGTGTCCAGCGACGTGCAACTAAATACATTCTGAATGACTTTCACTATGACTATAAACATCGTCTTTTGTCCCTCAATCTACGTCTTGTTCTTTATTCGCTGCCTCAAGAATCCCGACACTTCAAATGCCTTTTCAATCCTCTCCTACGTCCAGTTCTCTAAAGGAATCACTCGGTCCTCCACCCATCAAAAACTAACTCCAAAGTCTAATGCCTCTGCTCATCATTATTTCAACCGACTTCCACGACTCTGGAACTCTCTTCCGCCAATCAAACTCGACTTTCCATCAAAAGTCACCTTCACCAAGTTTTCTGGACCAAGTTTAACTCTTGTTTTCTCTGTTCTGACCCCTTTTCTTTCGATTATGTATGCCCATGTGCTAAGTGTTTGTGTTCGTCCATAGTTACAAGTTATTCTACCTCCTAGGACATCAGCATCTATCTGGTGTACCTTCAGTACATGTAATGCCTCCATCCTCTCCACTTTCACTGTTTTCATTTTTTTTTCATGTACTGTAAAGCAATAAAGATAATCTCTCTTGCACTCATCTTGTAAAACGAGTTGGTTTGTCTGTCTGTGTGTCGACGCTTGCGAGCCTGAAAACTAAAAGGGCGATTTTCCTTACACACGACTGCGTTCGAGAGATATGCCGTGAAAACAAGCCAATATATGCATAATCGCACTGGGCTTACTGCGACCTGATCCGCTCGGTCGAGGTAAGCTGGTGCGATTATGCATATTAGCTTTTTCCATATGCAGTCGTCCCAGGAAAATCGCCATTTTAAATTTCGTTGGTATCGCTCGTGGGCCGCCTCGCACCCGTACACATACCAATTACTGTAACCCTCGCTGCGCATGTGCACCGAGGGTTGTGCGCTGTGCTTGCGCATGCGCGTTTTCTGTGACTGACAAACAAGGGCGTGTCATCTTCTTGTTTTGGGGATCCCAAACACGAGAGTGCAGGTATATACACGGCGTACACAGCGAGCTAAGAGTGGTTTGGTGAGTTGCTTCCCTACACTACATGTTTTTGCAGCCCCTCCCCTCTTTTCTACCCCCTGTATAAATAAATAGCTACCTACCTACAGCAAATTACATAGTAGTAGACAGCTTACTGTCCGTTTTTTCGGTTTCTATGCGTTTGTTGTTTGACTATGGTTTCCCATAGGTAAACCTCACAACGCATGAAGTTGTTCGTAGCCTTTGGTAAGCGGCAGCCCCTCCCCTTTTTTTCCAAAAACGCACGGTACGTGCTCGCTTATTCGTGTGGCAGGGTAGAGTTATTGCGTGGGCAAGGAGTGTAGTACCAGTATGGAGCAGGTTTTTAGGGGCCTAGAGCTTGAAAGAGGTGTGGGAGCCAGTATGTGGTCATATCAAGACAGGTTGAGTTATAGATTCATAGCTAAAGTTGCTGTAGCTAGGAATGTTGAACCTGATGGTAGCAAGCATCAGAAGTACAGCAGCTTGTCTCAATTAATAGGCATGTCTCTCTATTTAACCTGTAAATGTAGGCTCATTATCCTTTCAGTTAAATTGTTAGGCACACATTAGTTTTCTGCAACAATATCCCAATTGTCAGATGGACAGCCAAGAGTATTGTTGCACCTTGGAATGATAATAGCTATAACTAAGTATAACTGTCAGCCTCACCAAACATGATGAGATCCTCCTGTATTTTAAGTGTAAGTATAAAGGTTGCTTTAACATTTACAATGCCTCAACAGGTGTAGAAGGTTCGTATTGTTAGATATCTGTGCTTCTTCTGTTTCACCCAATTGCGTATAAGTGCTAGGCATGAATTGCTGATGTTACTTTACTTTGGAAAGTCCGCCTCACTCTAAAATGTTCCTTACTTCACTCACTAAAGTGTCCTTGCTTCTCTCCATGTTTTTGCAATCCATTACCTTCAATAGGGAATTGTGTGGCCAAGCCATAAGCATCACAGTGGAACACAAAAGTAGATATGCAGAAAGATGTAAGTTTTCACTACTGTGGCCATAATGCAGTTTTCTGTGATTAAAATCACGAAGTATTGAAAAAGTAGACTTATTATTGGAGAGAAAACAATTGAAGTAGAGAAAATTACTGGGTTCAAGAATTATCAGTGCATTTATCCGTGACTGAGAGGTCTGCTTTACTTATGGACATACCTAAAATTTCCTGGAAAAACGGGACTCCAACAAATTGTGACTATGCTACCGCAGGTAACCGCAGGTACTCACCGGGGTAGCAAATAGTCAAAGTAAGCGTGCATAGTGACAACAGCATAACCATTTTGCCAGCACGTGCACTTTAACATTTCAAAAACCAAACCAGACTATATTATTTATCATACATGCAATGAGAAAGGGTCGCAATGTAGTTTTGCCAACTAGAACCTTCAGTATAGCCTTTTTGCAGCCCGCACACATAGACCACCTTTTCTTTGTGCGCACTATGATATTTTTTAGCACTGGAGAATCTTTTAATTAAGTGTCGCCTGCATTTGTGACCATATCGTGTCACTATCAAATGCAATTTTTAGATGACTCAATATGAAGGTGTTTCAGGGAAGTTTTGCCAATACCAATTCTCTATATAGAGAGTGCCGCCAGGAATCAGTGTACATAACAAAGATTCTAGAGAGGAACCCTTGCGGGCATTTGGGTGCTGTGTATAGTTGTTCCAACTAGTTTTGTAGAGGCCCACATGTACAAGTGCGTGATTTTAAATCCAAGAAAATCTACTGAAGTTCCCAGCCCGTGTTTCCCTTGCACAGGGAGAGGGAGGTGTTGAAATTTGACTACGGACCTAGTGCAATTGTTGTGTACAGCTTAATGTTGCCACAAGCAATCTGCCCTTTTATCAGAGAATTATGTATGCCAAAGATTAGAACTATATATGCTTATTAACGGTTTTAGTGTACCTGAGAACCTGCTAAAACCTTCCACGACAAGAATATTTTGCACATTTTTGTAAATCAATTTTCACAAAAGTTTTGTGAAAATCGATTTGAGAAAATGTTCACCGAGGGTTTGCACTTAGTGCTCTTCATTGTTTTAGGTTATTCAACGAAGTGCCCTGGGACCAAGTATGATCACACCTCCAATGGGTCTGAAGAGGAAGACGGGCAAAAAAGAGAGTATGAACATTTAACATACCTGCATGGCTCAGGAATACATTTTAGTATCATCAGAGCTCATGATAGCTAGCATACGTAACAAGCTGGCTTCCATGTTTCCTTCTATAATGTTATTTAGAGAGTTGAAAAAATCCTTGTGGCAGAATTAAAGTCACATATGGCATACACAATTGACAATTCCGTTCCTCTACACCACGGAACAGGTCTCATGTACCACAGGTTTGTAAAAAATAATGGAAACTGCTGGCTCTTATTGTGACCCCCAGCCAGGATTACAGGGTGCCAATTGTGTCTATTGCAACAACAGTGTGTATGTGTGTTTTGAAGGTAGTTTAGGTCAGGGGTTCGAATCTTGTTGGGCCTCCAGACCTCTGCCTTGTGACAGATGCACACAGTTTCTTTGTTCTCCTATTCACAAAATGCTCTGATTTACACATAAATAATTAACTTGTTTGCCTTGCCTTGCTTTTCTACTTCCTTACTAAGTTGTTGAGACATGCACAGGTGGGTAGAGGTTTGTGTTTGTCTTATGTCATAGTAGTACAGATTCGAATCCGAGTTGCCCTGGTAGCTCAGTTGGTAGAGCGTCCGCTAAGAATGCAGAGAGTGGTGGGTGTGAATCCCAAGCCAGTCATATCAACATATTCACCTACACATGTTTGGTAAAATTATCAGGTATAGAATATTACTAGAAAAGGGGAGAGGTTTTGTGGCACATTATTTCGGCAAGGTCAGCTGTTGCACACCTTAATCAGATGTAGCAAGTCAACTGCTTCTTTCCACACTTTCTGTGAAACTACAATACTAGTGCTTTAAAATGCACATCAACAGACAGATTTTTGTAGCCTTCTTCAAGTTACTAGTATCTAGTTAGCAATAAAGTTATTCACTAGGCTGTGGCAGCTCAGTGAGAGTGTAACAGTAGGTCACTGAGAGTTTTAGCATCAAGCCGATCTATTGCAGATCTAGTCATGACTGTTTCATGAATGTAGGCTGTGTGGAGGCATCCTCGTATAATTTGCACATTCTGTAACCCTACATACCTAAGTGCTAAGTGTGTTGTAAGTAACAGTGTCAGTAAGGAATTTTGTGTTGTATATGTTCTTATCCACACATGGAGTGTAGGCTAGATTCATTAATGGGTGGTTTTGTGTAACTTTTTAGAAAAAAATAAAGTGATGGTATCTGCACCATTCAATGTGAAGTATGTTGACATGTTGGAAGCACCAGACCAACTCCAAGATCAGATCAAGTTCCCAGTAGAGGTTAGGGTATAATTGTGCAATTATTACTCGAGTTTGCGTTATTTTTGTGGCAACCACAAATATTTGTGTAAACTATTGATGGTGGCACCTTCTGTGTTCTTTCTAGATATACTTGCTAGTTGTATGGAGGTAATCCTTCTTTAAATCGTCTGACAGACCCCCACATAACTAAAAGAACAGATTGGCTTATGTATTGCAACCTCTTTCCCCCATTTCATTAGCATACTGTATTTATGTGTGTATCTCATACTAGCACATTGCAACAATGGCTATGGAGCAGCAAGAGATTGATCCTTCAATTGCCACTCTGGATCATGTAAAAGGCCTACTGCAACAGAAGACTAAAGAGGTTCTACTCTGTATCACAAACAGTGCACTTATCGTGAAAGACTGTGTTACAAAGGTTAGCACTCCTGGTTTTATGTAAATGGCTCGCTGAACATGAAGCTAAGTGTGTTTGCTGTTTACACAGACTCATTAGTTGCTCATTGTTGTGGAATAATAGATATGCGCTGACAACAGAGGTGTCAAGCAAAGAAATGTCATTTTTAATGCTTGGTACAATAGAAATTACGTGTGACACAGTGAGTTTATGATGTGGACCAAGTATGAGAGAATGACAAATACAGCACCAGCTGCTGATGTTGAGTCTGACTGCCGTGTTCTATTCCTGTTGGATCAGAACTGCTAGAATTCACTGGTTTATTTTTATTACACATTGCTATGAGGTGGCCAAAAGTAATATCAGAATCAGACAATAAGGCTACTTCTGGGGGAAGTGTTCCTTCCTCTGTCGCTTTTTCTATGTAAAGTTGTATGTAACCTTGCCGTCATAGTGCATTGTCCATACCTGAACCGAAGTTTGCCATTTGCTTACGTTGAAATAATGTAGGCTGCCAGGGATGGGGTAGCTTCAATGGGATTCCTAATCAGGAAATGTCCAGGTGTGACAGATGTACACTGAAGGCAATGGAGTTCCAAGACTGTTATGACAGGCTTCTACTTGAATGAGAATAGTCATATGGACTACAACCAGCATGCTTTAGGTGGAGGCCTCATGCACTAACCATTCAAACATTTGCAGAGTTCTGGAATACACTTTCAAGTATATTGTACGTTAGCTCCGTTCTTTGTTGCAAAAAGTGACGCATTTCAGCATGTACAAAGTATCAGTAACTTTAGTAAATTGTTAAACCGCTTAGGCTTATTTTTGCCTGGCATTATTCTAGAACCTTAAGGTAGGCTGGAGTTTTGCGTGACTGGGCTCGGCGGATACGGGGACCAATGACTGAAGCTTTCGACACAGGGGAAGTTTCGAGGGTAACTCGCTTTATAACCCTATTATCTGCATACGTTTTGTCAAGAGGAATGCCTGCAATGGAACAATCATTGAAAGAACAGTTTAGAGCATTAGTTTGTTCAACCTTGTCGGAAGCAAAAAATGGCAGCAGGTCTATAGCCATGTGCGTGCCCATTTTTTTGATGACATAATCCTTTACCATGGTAAAATGAATAAAAATTTTGTAACTCGCAAACACGCAACTCCTCTCTTACAAACAACTGATGTCCAGGTATCATTCTTAACACATTAACCATGTACAGAGCTTTTATGACACGGATGCACTAAATTTCACTGGGTAAAGATCATGCATAGCACTTCCTAGGATTGAAAAATTGATGGATCTAGTTTTGCGTGGACTATGCACATATTAGGTTAGCACGACCGACACAGTCAGAGGTCTTTCTTTAGTGTATAAGCAAATGCACTTGTTAATGAAAAGCACTAAAGTGCAAACCTGCTTGCTAGAGAAGGGTTCCAAGTAAGCAGTGTTGAGGAAGACCGACCTACACAACCTTCTGAGAAAGGATGCAGACGAGGTAAGCATGCTACCAAGTGAGGCACATCTTTCGCTGTGCATTTGCCATGTTTTTTAGCTCAACAATAGGGTTAATAAACGTTCTCTGCAGAATTATAGCCTATGGGAGAAGATTTTACGGAATATCTCGCGCATGCGCGAACAGATTGTGCGAATGAAACGCGCACACAGAAGTACGCGCATGTGTTGTAAGGTACGTAAATGGGGGGTAACTCCGGATATGGGGCGTTAAACCGGACTCGAAATTATTCGCTGCGAAAGAAACGCGAGGAAGATTTGTTAGCTCTTTGGTACGTAGGTAGTAATCAAGTGAAATATATTCTCTTGTTTCTGAATAGGGAGTTATGTCCGTGTATTACCCCGTGTCCGAAAGTTACCTCCATTTACCTTACTCCTAATTGATGGGCTGGGCCATTTCACCGACTCATAGTCTCCTACCAGGTCGCTAGCTGAGAGTCGGTAACGGGCTAGCCACACCCCACTTGATAACATGCAAGAGTCGATGGATGCCCTGCATTGCAACCTCTGGGGCCTGCAAGGTACGCAGAGCAAGCGCCTCTCGGGGCAAGCCCGTGCTAATATGAAAATTGGCTTGTTCACTTGGTTTTCACGCCGTAACTCTCGAACGCAGTAGTTTCCTACATACATTTCGAGCTATACCCGACGCTGAATACCTGGTATTGTTTGTGGAGTGATTCATGGCTCATGAACTGAGATGTTAGGTAACGGACAAACAGACACACACAACTACCGTAACCCTCGCTGCGCATGCGTGCCTAGGGTTAATAAACAGATTGACAACGGCTTGGCGCAGTGCAGCAAAATAGCATTTTACATTCTGTCGCTTTGAGTATTATTTCATAGCTAGACAGTTAAATTGGATCAAGATACTGTATAACTGGTTGTTGATCTTATTTAAAAAACATGCCACCTGCAATAATGGCCAGACTAAAATATACTTGAAATTCCAGCATCAGTTCTCCGACTAGCTCAGCCATATTAATTGACAAATAGAGTGAGCATGTATACATTGTTCAAACGTGTTTGAGATATGCTGGGTAACGGACAGACAGAACGCACGACAACTACCGTAACCCTCGCTGCGCATGCCTGCCGAGGGTTAATGAGAACCTGAAACACTACAGATAACAATTAGAAAGAGCATGGCAAGAAAGCAAGCGATAAAGCCACAGTGCATTTTCTGCACTGGAGTACAGCGACCGGGCCTAGCTCAATGCACATTTTACGTAGCATGTTGAACTTTATTGACTGATTTGCAAACTGTGTATTGATGAAATATGTATCACTGCCCAATTACAGTTACGGCATCTGTACCTCTACAATTTTGTGTTTTATAATAACCATCGCAAACACAAAATGTTTATTCCCAGATGTCAAGAAATATGCCTAGTGTAGTGTAAGTCGGATGTAGAAAATAATTTCAAGTCTGGTATTTTACGTATAACGTATTTTGCACCTTTATTACACAGAGGAGTACCTTTTTGATTACACAGCATTATTGTTCACTGTTTCTGCTGAATATGCAATCTTATCATCATATTATACAGCAGTCACAGAGAGTGGGCAAATGCCAGTGCTTATGCGCTTACATTACTAATCACAGAAAATCTGCATTGAAAATGTCCTTTTTTCATAGGAAGCAATGCTGCAGATTCCACTGACCAAAATCATTACATGTCACCACCTTAACAAGAGGGGGAGTCAGTCAAACGTTCTTAAAATAGATGCCCATGACCAAACTGGACATCATACCCACTTCTTTCAATGTTCAAGAACCCCGGTTAGACTCCTATTATTAAGAGTTAGTGAGGTAGGCCTTTTACATCATGATGCTAATAACATAAAATGTTTGATTCAATTTTGACTTCCGATAAATAGGGATCTGCATTTCACCACATATTTTTCTTCATTCATTATACACCCTGATCTCTCTTGCAGGCAGAGATAATTTGTAAGGAAATTAACCTGGCGAAGATAAATTGTTCTACTGGCAATGAAGGAAAGGTACTAAGGTTATTGCACAAGCACATAAAAATGAAGGTAGACAAGATAGGGATTGGATACATGAACCATGGTTTAGGAACCAACTGTAAGCACACTCATGCCTCTGACCCAATCACACAATACCTATGATAATTACCTGGTGTGCCACAATCAAACTCGTTGTGGTTGCACTATACAATGGCAACAGTACACAAATTATTGTCACCTGTCTTTTCAGGCTATGGCTCCTGCTTAAACACATAATGGTGAATATCTCATACTTCACCTAAGCAACATGGCTCTCGGGCATTACATCACAACTGTGCCAACGTAATTATCACTTAGGTGTAGGCAAGAACTAATACATACATATAACACACTGTAAAACTTTTACCCAGTTTGTGCAGACACACAGTTTATGCGCTTCTGCGCTTTTTTACTTGTGAAGTAACCTGCTGCTATGCACAATTGCCTTTTCTTTCGAGGCCGGTAGCGACTCTGGCTCGTCGAAAACACATTATATGTGTATTTTGCTTGTCCTAGGGTACTTGGTGGACTGTGAATGGCTCCTCCTGAGTGCGTATACATTCTCTCTCGTTCCTATGTATCAGTGGCGGATCTAGGATTTTGAAAGGGGGTGGGGTTCCGTTTTCCAGAACGCTCGTGTGCGCTCACGAGGCCTACGATGCATACACACAAAACAACAAAAAGGGGGGTTTCGCGGACGGGACCCAAGGAACCCTCTGGATCCGCCACTATCACTAAGTACGGTAGTACTTAGTATATAGGGATGACACAGGTTGTCCTGCATTATGCCCATACATTTGAGATTTTCATGTTTCACTTTCTATTTGAATCACATCCAACTTTTGACACATTTGTATCGTCACAAAGAGCATAAATTGCTTAAATCGCATTATCGGTACTTGATTTATTCAAGAAAGTCACTTTTCAATTTTGTTGTTCAGTTTAGACAAGGATATCTCACAAACCGGGTAAGATATGGATATGAAACTTTGCACTGATATTGGAATCCATGACAGGTCGTTCAAGAGCATTTTTATTTCTTCGTAAACAATGCTGTTTACATGTAAAGAACAACAAATAGCCCCAGGCAATACATTATGATAGAGACAAATAATGTGTGCTAACTGGGTAAAGCTAATACCCAGAGTGATAACACTTTGTACACACATGCAACCCATCATGAAAATGTAAACATTACAAGTTTGTAAACAACAACAAACAGCCTCAGGCAATAAAACCTTGTAAAATGTGTTTGTGCCTATAACTTGCTTATGGTGGGTCCTCTAACAATGAAACTTGGTACACTGATGTACCATGATGAGAGTTCATTGAAACAGAAGTTACAAGTTGGTAATTCCCTCTTGCAGGTGGAGCCGCCTCATTAGGCTCCACCCCTCCCCAGTCCTGATCACACCCCCGGAAATGGGGTGGAGAGCCCCAGGCAATACAAACTTGTGAACTATGTTATTGTATAACTTGCTTATGGTGGGACCTCTAACAATTAAAATTGGTACACTGATGTTCCATGATAAGAGTTCATCAAAACAGAAATTACAAGTTAGTAAACAACAACAAACAGCCTCAGGCAATGAATACTTGTAAATGATGTTTGTGCCTATAACTTGCTTATTGTGGGTCCTCTAACAATGAAACTTGGGACACTGATGTACCATGGTGAGAGTTCATCGAAACATAAATTACAACAACAACAAACAGCCTCAGGCAATAAATACTTGTATATGATGTTTGTACCTGTAACTTGCTTATTGTGGGTCCTCTAACAATGAAACTTGGTACACTGATTTACTATGATAAGAGTTCATTGAAACATGAATTACAAGTTTGTAAACAACAACAAACAGCCTCAGGCAATTAAGTGCTGTTTTTCCTATAACTTTGTACACTTATCTACTTGGAAGTGAAATAAAAATGTAGATGACGACTAACAGACCGAGGCAATAAATACATGTTACTTTTTTATATGGACATTATGCCCCAATGCATGTGTATGCCGTAAAAAAGTAAAGGAGACAAGTCAATAAAAAATTCTGCGATTTAAAGAAGTGTGGAATATAGGGATGCCATAAAAAGAAAGGAGACAAGACAGGGATGACCTGGGCATGTGATGCAGTAGTACAATGGGTTACATCTTCAAACTGACATTTCTTGCTCATGTAAATTTTACTCCACACAAGCCCTATATTGTCGCAAAGCACGAGTGATCTCTATCGTATGATGTGCAGCTATGACTCGTTTCCTATGCACGTAAGACTGGTAGCAAATGCCCTCTCTGACAGGTCCTCAGTTTTGAATCGTGACTGTGTTTACTTCAATGTTCGCTCAACTAACCGGTTTTACAATGCTGCTTTCCCCACAGAACTCATTTGCCAGTCTTCACACTACACTATTCAAAACTCATGTCATGAGTAAGAGTGGGGACAATATAGGGCTTGTGTGGAGTAAAATTTACATGCGCAAGAAATGTCAGTTTGAAGATGTAACAATCATCCCATTGAACTACTGCATCACATGCCCAGGTCATCCCTGTCTTGTCTCCTTTCTTTTTATGGCATCCCTATATTCCACACTTTTTTTATTCGAAGATTTTTGTATTTACTTCTTAGTCTTGCGTCTGTGTAATAGATTATCCTTACTAAATGCACAGAATAAGTTGGCACTGACTTCAGTCTGACTGTCAGCTTTCCTGCGTATTCTCTCGATGACATGTGCAAATGTGGACATGTTTAAATGCTGTTGTTGTTGAATATTGACCCTTATAATTCCCACCCTTATGAAGAAATGCCTTCTTGTTATTTTTATCTGTCTTGCAGCAGAGGAAGGAATGGTTAACGCGACAGCAACATTTAAAAGCCCTCCAAGGCAACTGGATTCTTCAGTCCCATTCTAATCACCCTCCTCCACCTTCTGTTACTCCTCCTTCTCTTCCAGCAGGTGGAGGTTGTTCAATCTCTGCCCCATATCCACCTCATGATCATCCTACCATTTTGCAAGGTGAATTGTTTAGAGTTTTTTTATTTTTTATGAATCATCCTAGAAGACCTAAAAAATTAAAAGCACTAAAGTGCAAACCCTCGACGCACTCGCTCACTAGGGAAGGGTTCGATGTAAGCGAAGTTGAGGAAGACCACCTTCTGTGAAAGGCTGAAGACGAGCTCAAGGTTCTCAGTAGAATTATAGCCTATGTGAAAGAGGATATGTTACAGAAAATATCTCGCATATGCGCGAACAGATTGCATACGAAACGCGCGCACGCGAAGTACACACATGTGTGGAACTCCTAATTGGTCGATGGGCCGGGCTGACCCTTTGTCTCGAGCTCCTACCAGGTCGCAAAGATTCGCTGGCTACAGTATCACTACTAAATAACGTGCGAGTCGATACACGCCCCCTATTGCAACTTATGGTGCCTCCAAGGTACGCAAAGCAAGCGTTGTGGTTGAGGTAAGCCCGTGCTAATTTGGCTCGTTTACTAGGTTTTCATGCCATAACTCTTGAACGCAGCAGTTTCAGAGAAACCCTACATATTTTTCGGCTATTTTTCCTGATGCTGAATATGTGGTATTGTTTGTGGAGCAATTCATGGCTCGTGAAGTGAGATGTTGGGTAACAGACAGATAGACACACACAGCAACTACAGTACAATAAGTTCAAAAAGTTCATTACTGCATGACCAGCACGGACGGTATAGCAGACAAAATAATATGCACAAAAAGAATAATATGACTGGGCCTGTGGAATTTTTATGATGACAATGAAAAGGTAGCTCTGAGTGAGGCTGCCAGTGTGAAGGTCTCTTCGCTGGGGCCAGTGAGTGATTCCCGCAGTTGATCAGCAGAGCAGCAGAAGTGGATGTTGCCAATGTGATGCGCTGGAGATTGACTTGAATCCGGTATGTGGCCACAAATGTGACAGGAATAGTTCTCATATTTTGGAGTCGTGAGGATGAGGAGAGTAGCCTCCAGTGCTCTGGTTCCAGGGAGACCATTGTCTCTAGCATCATCCCAGAGCTTCAGCCAGTTGATGTCTGGTGTGAGTGCAGCAAGGCTTTCCCGTGATGACCCTTGCTCCCAAATGTACTTAGCGATCTTCCTCTTCCAACTCACTGACTTTAAAGTCAACACTGTCTCCTCCCTGTGAGAGGCGTGAAGTGAGTTCCGTGCAGTTTTTCCAGGAACTTGCACTGCTGAATGATCAAGGGCCTGAGTGTTCTTCCTGCATAGCCTCATTGTTGGCCACTTCAATGCGACCAGGGGAATGAGGTTTGAGTGGTGCTTTGGGATGTTTAGTATCTTCTTCCCATGGTCACCTTGGAATTTCTCCAATGTGGCAAGTGTAGACTCTCTGAGTAGCCAACTTTCTGAGCTATACAGGCAGACAGGATGGACACAGACGGAGTATAGTTGACGTGATGTCAATGGGTTTTGTTTTCCATAGGCAATGCCGTTGGCTTGCTGTTCAAAAACGGCTCGTCTAGCCTTCGCAAGGTTATTTGAGATGTTCACTGTTGGCGAGAGGTCATGTGACCATGCAACCCGAAGGCAGATGGCATTGCTGGAGGAGGAGATTGTCGTATTCCCGACGTCCAAGGATGCAACTCCAGGTGTGATAGAAGAGTGTTGCAGGAACTCCAATTTTCCATGTTTAGTTGAAGGCCACAGATGCCTGCTGCTCGAGGAGAGCAATATTTGCAGTTATGCTTCTAAGATCGTCTGCATGCCCCTGAGATCCGACGTAGATACCATTGATGCATGCTCCTGTCCTGGACGACTTCAAATCCACGAGGAGGGAGTCAATAACTAACAGAAATAGGAGCGGGGATAAGACAGACCCCTGTTTGACTCCGCGGTTCATTTGAAATTTTGCTGAGTGAGTTGACTCAACTCGAACACAGGCTTCCACTTGATCGTGAAATGCACTGATCACTCGCCAGGCTTTCCTGTTAATTCCTGCTTTGTAGAGGAGTACGTTGTGCTCTATAGAGTCAAACGCTTTTCTCAACGTCGTAAAAGCATTGAAATATCTTCAAACCACTGTCGATATAGGCTTTATCACCTCTGGTACAGCTTCTGTTGCATCACAGCAAGATATAACAGCCTGGTATGCTGTGTGAGTGTAATGGGGGATCCCCTTCTCTTCCAGGATAGGAGTCATTCAGAAAAGGATGACACGCTCAAGGACCTTGCCTATGACTGATGATAGAGAAATCCATCTGTAGTTTTTAGCTAGGAGGGGATCTCTGCGTTTGTCTTTGTAAATAGGGACGATGACAGCCTCCTTGAAGATGGGATTCGCTCAAGATGAATAATCTTGTTAAAGATCTTCTTCAGCTACAGAATGAGGAAGTCGCCATTATAGATGGTGTGCTCAGGTGCTGTCTAGACCACATGCCTTTCCATTTCTCAGCATTTTAATGATGCCTTTGATTTCCTCGGTGGTGATGTCATAGTCGAAAACAAAATCATTTTGGAAGGAGGCGAACCTATAGCTGGGTATGAGTGACTCGATGTTGGATAGAGCTGAGGCTTTTGACGAACAGAGGTTTTTGAAATGGTGTGCCCATGCATTCGTGACGGCTTCTTTATGAGTGACAATCTGACCATTCACATGCAGCCTCTGGCCATGTGTCCTGTTTTTGGGTACTTTCAATCGGACCATTTGATATTCCCCTAAATCTTCCTTCCCGGCGTTCATATTGCATGTGATCTCTTTTCGCTGGTAATATCTGTATTTGCTTTTTCATCTCCCTTTTCGCTTTTTTCATTTTGACCAGGAGTTCGCCATCACGTGATCAGCCCGCTGCTACCAGGTTTTCCAGGTAGCTTTACTACGTAGCTTGACATGGATTCCTCAGATGATCGTCCATGAAATAATCGTTTCTCTTCTTCTTCCTTCGAGCTTTGGGGGAGGTCATTTGCAGCAAGCAGGACCGCGGAGCACACATGTTGAATCTCTTCCTCTAGCTGAGAAGTTAAGTTGCAGTTTTCCAGATTGGACACCCTTTGTTGTATGCTTGGTGATGTTGAAGCCATAACAGCACTGCTATTCGTAGCACCTGTACCAATGCTGTACACGTTGCTTATCCACCGCCAGGCATTCGACCACCATCTAGACTTCCAGTACCCACAGTTCCTTCACTGGCTACTCCACTTATACGTAGATTGGCCCGTGTCCCCACAACCCTATTACCAATTTCCCCATACATCTGCTTTACCAGTTCCCCCCTCGTGATTGAATCCCCCACTCCACCCGTCCCAGCCCTGACCTCCTCTCTGGTACCTTCTGCACCCTCACCCACCATTGCTCATTCTTCTTGGGAGTTACTTAAAACCAGGCAGGAGGCTGTTGAGAGTTGAGAGGCTATGGTGGTGCTGGTAGATAGCTTATTCTCAAAATACTCAGCATTTTATTTCCCGCTCTTATACGTAACCCTCACTGTGCATGCGCGCCGAGGGTTAATAAAGAGAGATGCCATGGTGGTAAAAGGGGGACACTTCTTTTTTTCTAAATACGGATTTTATTGTTAGCTACATGCATGTGTAATATTGGGAGCAATCCCATATCTATGTATTTTAGGCAACCTGCAGCCAGAGAGTCCCAGTGAAGTAAGTCGAGGGCCACATCAAAGCTACTCAAGTGATGGCCATGCAGAATCAATTGGCCAGGGTTCAGAAGGCACTTCTCATCCTAATAAGTACATATAATATAATGGGCCGATCAGCCTTAAGCATGAAAGTTATGTGTTTGGTCCTGTAGTGCTAGAGACATTATCAAACAAAGTAGCAGCAAGAACATCAGTGTTCTCCCATCGAGGTATGTAAGTCTTCATGAAGCAAAATTACATGTTTCACCTGTGAAAAAAAGGTCTCCAGGGGAAGGTGGAGAAACTAGTGAGATGCGAAGAAGAATGAAGGCTTCAAGGATTCAACGTGATGTGGTAAGAGTAAAGGGAGTATTCTTGCTTTATTTGGTAGATGGTAACATTCTGTGTTACGCATAGCATATTGTCAACTATTACAATAAGCACGTATGCATTTAATCAGCCGTCTTAGCTTTATTCACTGGGTTACCTCTAACCTGCATAATTAAATCTCACTCCCTAGGAACCATGTAATTTATGACCTCTCTCTATCATAAGTAGAATGGGCTGTAAGTATACCATGCGGCTCAAGACAGGTAAATGTGTCGGAGTAAGGACTAGAAAGCATGTGTTTTTGCCACCCAGAGCTGTCAATTGTGGTGGTGAAACGATGCCACGAAGCACCGGCAGTGGCTTGCAGCTCGTGCTCCTTAGGGTCTATCGCCTTGAATGTGTTGAACTGTAGCGTTTCACTTTCTGTTTGCCCAGATACCAACATTTCTAGTCCTGTCCCTGTTTTCTCAGAAACCAGGGCAGTTGTGGTGTTAAAAGGGTGGACCCCATGGCAGTATTTGGTACAGCAAGATTCTGGGGTCGAAACAAACACAAAGATGGCCTTACAGGCTAAGGGGTATTACTTAATTAGGGATTGCGATTCTGGTGTCCAAGGCATGCTCCTTGTCACATGCTTATACATGCAGAAAGACGGCTCCTTCCTGCATGTGTATGACATTCTGAGGCTGGGGCTTGCAGTGAAGAAAAAGCTTTGCAAGGAGAAAAGGTTTCTGCCTTGAGATGTGGAGAAGGTCAATAAAGCAGCTATTTACTGCTCAATCTGATGAACACCTATAGAGCGATGGAAAAATAAAGTGGCCGGATTAAGGAGTGCTTTTCAGACTGTGTTATAGATTTGAGCCTCTACTAGATGGGTTGGTGTTTTTACCCAGCTGATAGAGCACCATGTGCTGTACAAATCTGAGCATTTGTACAACTATCCTAGAATGATTAGTAGCCCCTGGAGTAGCCCTACTTTCACTAACTGTCCATATGATACCTGTGTATTGTTGTAAGAACATTATAAATGTAGATAAGTGTTATCTAATTACGTACATGCCACTATGTTCAGCATTCTGAATTCGGGTTTTGGCTCGGTACTGGCAACGCCTTGTGGGGATGAATCTCATTAGTTCAGAACCACAGAGCAAAGCCTTGTGGGGATGAATCTCATTAGTTCAAAACCACAAGTGCTGCGCTCAACTTTGCCTTTATAAACTCGTGATGCCAGAGAGAGAAGTTGCGGTATGCTTTGCTGATGAGGCCGAAACAGCTGTCCAGAGCTCCACATCTTTTTTCTCTTGGCATCACATGGTCTATTGTTACATGCAGGATATTTTAAACCATGTTATGGAGGATTTGGACGATTTTAAATATATTTTGAAGAGCAAAGCTGCTGCTTGGGCTGACTTGGAGAAGAAAAGGAAAAAGTCTAGGCGCAAAAAACATGATGGTAATTACGTACTTGGATTTGACAGATTGTGTTATTGGTTACTCAGCTGTCTGTGTGCTATTTCAACTGTATTACAGAGCAACGTTGCTACTGCATAGGTTAAGAGTTGGCGCAAAGGCTTGAAAACAAACGAAGTTATAGCAATGAGTTAGTTGACTAGGTTATTTAGCTAATCTTAACAGAGCGTATGTGTCGGCAAGTGTCATACTGCCGACGCACAGCGCACCCATGTACATCATGGATTTATGACATGCCTTTCACTTAATCTGTAGATCAATGATTGCTTTGTTCTATCTCCACATAAAGCAGCCATAGAGGAACTAAGGCTGAGAGCAGAGCCACCAAGTGAAGAAGAATTCAAAGAAGTGTACAGAAAGTGCAAGTTTGCGCTCAATCTGATCACAAAGCTAGGTCATCACCTGAGTGCTCCATCGGCATCAGAACTACAAGCTGCAATATTTTCACATTATGTGTCACACTTCGTTTCAATCAATAAAGGGTAGGTGTTTATGTGTGAACATGGGGGGGCTCGGTTTTAAAAATATACGGGAGGGGGGGCAGTGGTGCGTATGATACAGTTGTGTTAGCAGGTCCAATCCCCAGCGATTGGGTTCTGTGAGAGTGATCTGTGGCTTTCTATGTATACACCCTCAAAGTCAAAGCCCACTTTATGGAAGTTGAATAGAAAATTCTAGATAGCTAATGAGTGTTAATGTCTTGTTTAACCATT